GCCCATCAAGCAGGATACAGGTAGTCATGCCCAAGTCGCTGGAAAGAAGAGAGTGCTGCGAAGCTAAGTGGCAGCCCTCACGCCGGCGGGCCCCACGTCCATCGCCGGGCGGCGCTGGAGATGCACTTCGTTTGGGCGACAAACGGCCAAGCTTCGACTTTCCTTTTCCCTTGCCCTTAGGCGGAGGGCTTGCCACCTCACAAACTCGTTGGACATATTTCGAGGGGCGTGGAGCGCCCATCTTAAAGCCCAGGTCTGGCCAAGTGCAAAATCACCATTTCGGGAAAACACACCAGCCAGAGCCGGAGATCCCCAAAGCTTGCGTAGCTCGCAGCCGGCGGCGCTGGCTGTAAACGAACAGACCAACCTGGCGGGCGAAGCGAGTTGCCCAAGCTCCCGATAAACCAAGTCCGATGGGAAATCAGAGATGGTCTTTGCGACTTCTGCAGCAACAGGAAACTGTTCACAGGCCAAGGCCAACGATCGAACCAGCTTTGTAGCCGGACCTTGAGCGGCGGCCCCCGATCTGCTCGGCCGCTGGAATTCTCCTGCTTTTCGCCATTGTAGCTTTCAAGTTCCAGAACAAGATTCTGCTTGACTAGGGTGCTACACCCCCAGCATGGCATCAATACCTCTCTTCGAGGTTGGGCTCTGATACTTCATTCGATCAGCTCCAGCCCTTCTGTTCCATCTTGGAGCTTGATCCTCTTGTACACGATGAAGGCATCGCCATCCCTGACACATGGGGGTCCATCATCTGAGGTGGGGCCAAACCCTGACTGAGCTGAGGAGGAGCAGGTGGAATAGGCAAAGGAGTGCCTACTGGCGCTGGCGGAACTGCTTCCGGAGGAATTGGCATAGCTTTTGCCGCTCTTCCAGTGGTTCCCAAGGTCGCCGCTTTCGCGGCGGTTGAAGCCACACCCGAATCCATCCTCGGCGCGACTGGGACAGTGGTGGTCTTGCCTCCCTCAGTCACATTCTTTTGCTGGATCTCGATCAACTTCTTCATATGCTCATTGAGGGTCGCGAGGTGACTCTCCACGTTTTCCATCGTTTCAGCCATACCTTCAGCAACCTTATTCTGCTTATTCAGGTGGTCGTTGATCCCCTGAAGCATCCGGGAGCTGCTGATGGTGACATCCTTCAACGATTGGTTTTGTGCCTTACCGGCTCCAGCCACTTGCCACGACATGTTCTCCAAGGAACGGTTGACCTGTTTTTGGAATTGCTTCCCGTCCTCTATGGACACTCTGGTGGCAGATTGAACACCCAGGATCGCCACGACCAAATCCTGGAGCTTCTTGCTGATCTCTGTCGAAGAAGCCTCACTGGTTTTCTGAAGCTCCTGAATGGTCCCCAAGAAGGACACCAGCTTTCCCACCATTGTCTGGCTTTCGCCAGTAGAGGTCACAACCCATCTGACTTGTCCGGCCGCGAAGAATACAAGCTGGAGTTCCGAGCGCAACTGGGCGGTATCGTGGGCCATGCCAGAGCCAGGTCTTGCACGGCACCCATGGTCTTGGAGCTCTTAACCTTCTTTTCATTTGCTCGGACATCGTCTTTCAACTTCTTGAACTCACGCTCAGACACAGTGCTGCGGCTACGAGCAGGAGCAGGACTGGACGGCATTGCTCAGCGGATCAAAAACTAGCGGGTCGCCTCTTATAGCGCAAACGGCAGGACATGCACAGCGCAGAACACTGCAGAGAGTGGCAAATACACAACAAGAAGACCCAGCTGTCAAGACAGCGCACTCAACTACACTAGTCTTCGGGTGTGTAGACAGCAGTAGGCCCGACAACATTGAAGTTGGGGTGCAAGGGGTTGAGACGGTGACGTGGAACGACTCTGGCGACGGCTGTTTTTTTGAAGAACCCGGACTCAGGAGGGACACTAGTCAGGCCGTGGTTGAGACGATGTAGACACAGTTAGACAACTTTTCGAGGCCAGGCCAGAATGTGCGAAAATACGGGGGTAGGAATTTTGGTGCGCTGGTGTATGACAATATGACGAAGTGGAGGTGGACTATCCTAAATGCACTTCACGTGGCAGGCGCGGTACTTTGGAGCGGATATTTCGTGGCAGGCGCAGGGCTTGGTCGCTTCAGATCGCTGATTCCTTGCGCCTGCCATGCAATTGACAGTCAACACACAGTCAACACGACAGTCAACACGACAGTCAACACACAGTCAACCACTTTTCCTGAGAATTCTCAATCGAAGCGCTGATTTGGACAGTTGCAGCCCCAACTCCAGTCTTAGATTGGGAATTCTAAGGTTTTCTCACGCAACGCACGTTTTGCTTGAGAATTCTCAGGAAAAGTGCTCGTGTTGACTTTCGTGTTGACTGTGAGTTGACTGTGAGTTGACTGTCAATTGCATGGCAGCTATATAAGGTATAGCAAGTTCCAAACACGGCAACAGTAGAAACTGCGAAAAAGACGTGGAGAGGTGGCCCTTAGCGTTCACCTTTGTGGGGTTGTCACAGGTTGTGTTGACTATGGATACACCATGACGCCGATCAACGTTAGCAAAAAAATCTCCCCGGACTCAAGAGGGACACTAGTCAGGCCGTGGTTGAGACGATGTAAACACAGTTAGACAACTTTTCGAGGCCAGGCCAGAATGTGCGAAAATACGGGGGTAGGAATTGTGGTGTGCTGGTGTATGACAATATGACGAAGTGGAGGTGGACTATCCTAAATGCACTTCACGTGGCAGGCGCGGTACTTTGGAGCGGATATTTCGTGGCAGGCGCAGGGCTTGGTCGCGTCAGATCGCTGATTCCTTGCGCCTGCCATGCAATTGACAGTCAAAACACAGTCCGTACAGCGTTTCCTCCCTGCCCGGCTGGTCCTCACTCAAGGGCCAAGTCATCCCCAGTGCCTCATAAATACGGCATTTGAGGGGAGCGCCTTTTTCTTTGGTGCCATCCTGCACGCCTGGCTTGTCGTCATTGTATTTGGTGATCGTCTCCAGCACGCTGGCGCGACTGCGGCCTTGTAAGAAGAACGCCAATTGGAGGTCAGCACGGGCCTCCCCTGCATCACTGGCAGCGCGCGCAGCAACAGCAGCAACGCGTTCAACTTGGGCCTCCAACATTTCATGGCCCTTTTGGAGGCGATTGCGTGGTCAGCGCGTAAGTGATGTCCTCGGGCATTTTCGCGGCCAAAAGCTCACAGACACAAAACCAGACTCGCGAAAAGAGCCTTCCGTGTGGGACAGTTCCACATGTGTTGACAATCCCTGACCAGTGGCAAATAGATGGTTACATAAAGAACACGGGAAGTCACCTTGTTGATGAATACGGTAGCGGTTCTCATCTTTACGGGCCATACGCGGAGCGGTCACCCGAATCGTCAAGTGGCAGACGGTAGAGATTCCCCGCCGGCTGTTTACCGGTGAGTTTATAACGAGCAATATCCTGTGCGGAGAACATATCATATACACCACTACGCCCAGAGACTATATAAGCAAGCGCCAACGCTAAAATCAGGTCTGACTCGCCGGTAAGGTAGGAGCTCGCTTCCTGAGCACGCCACCCTTGACCAATGTGTGCACTGAAGAACTGATCTCATGCTGTCAGCAGCACATCTGATTAGGCAACCGGGAATTTGGCATCCGCGCCAGATGTCCCAGCTCTATATATAGGCTTGCGCGACCAAATCCATCATTTTGGAGCACACCAAGCCACGCACGTACGTCTCGGTTACGTAATATGTCCCATCTCCTGATCCCACCGCGTGACAGAGGATACCTTTCGTAAACAGTTCGTATGAAAATTTTCGAGTTGGGTGTGAGGCCAAAAGGTGGTCGTCCATGACTCAGCCCCATGCAGGACCGAGATGACACACCATCGATCTACGCGTAGTTTCGTACTCACGCGAAGTTGCCGCGCGTCCCACACACTAGATGCCAAGCGTTAGAAGGCTTTACGGGCAAGGTCCAGTCGGCGACGGCGACGACGAATTTCCGCATGACATCTAGTAGCGGAGCCTAGATGCAAAAACTCTGCTGCGTGTCCTTAACCTGGTCGTCTCCTGGGCCCAGGGCATGTCAATAGCAGGTGTATCAGGTAGCGCAGGCTTCAGTTTTTTTCGACCGACAGAACCAAGCCCCAGCGGTCATAGTGTCGTTGGAGGCCTTTAGCCCATATTCGGAGCTTATCGACTGTATCGGCAAGAAACGCCATATTGTCAGCATAGCCCAGTTCATGGAGCATCAGGTCGTGGGGTCCAGATGGCGACGTAGGATGCCATCCACACGACAGGGCCACTCCAAACGACCATCAACCACCCGTTGCCATTCTTCCATAACAGCAGCCAAGAAAATGTTGAAACGTCAGCGCCATGCAGCACCCTTGGCCAAGTCCGGTGAGCGATGCTACGCGACAGCACACCCTCGACACTAACACGTGTCTCGTATACCAATGTAAAATTCCCGCACGAGCGTACAATTAAGTGATCAGGAACACCTTTATCGCCAAAATGGCCCATAGTCTACAGAGTCGTACGCTTTGGCGAGATCCACGAAAAGGATATACAGCGGGTGCGATTTAATGCGGGCAAGATCCATGTTCATCCGAAGCGTGAAAAGCATATCGGAGGAACCTCTCCCAGCACGGAAGCCGCATTGTGTGTCAGGTAAAAGCCACACCTCTTCACAGTACGCCGGCAAACGGCCGTTCAAGATGCGACTAAACTAAAACCTTACTGGGGACCGAGGAGAGCAGGATACCACGCCATCAGGAAAGGTTTTTGTATGGGTTTTGATCTCCTTGCAGACCCTCTAAACCCACCCCCAAACACCTTCTTGGAAGGCACTTGGAGCCCTATGGATAAATATATATATATATATAGACCATATATTTTATTACATATATACACAAACATAGGGATTCACAAACGTTGTCCCAACATGCATTTGGAGAGGCCGTATACCTCAGGAGGACCAAAGCGCACGTCGGCACCCGACGAAGCACGTCATCTGCTTCCAGGTTGCTCTTGGGTTTTCTCCGTGCTCGGCCGCCTTGGATGGTGTGCACTGCGACTCCAACAACGGAAACCATGCTGGGAAGGAGCATTGGACATCATGTTTCGGTACCCAGCACATAAAGTCAAAGCTGGAACTTGGGAACAAAAACCAACATGTGTGCAAGTGTTTCAACATGTTTACGACATATTGGGAATCCACAATCTGAGGGATTGAAGTTCGACCATTGGAAATCAACAATCTGAGGGTTTGAAGGTCGACCGGCCAACCTAGCCAAGAACATTATGAACATTGCAAAACACGGCCTCAAACGGAGTCAAACTGAGCAAAGCAAAACATTTTATCAACTAAGTGTCGTTTGGACGGTCACGTTTGTTGAAAGTCTGATTGGACTACTCAACTCAATACCTTGATATCTAGACAAATTAAATCTAACTATTGACTACTGCATTAAGTGATTTAGGGTGTTGAAACGCCCTGGCACCACTAGGGTTTCTTTTGAGCAAAGAGAGGGTGTTGTGTGTAAATCACTGAAACCGAAACCAGATTAAAACGACAAAAGACCTTCAAACCAAACAACATGGGCAATGCTCACAGAAAAAAAGGGAGAAACTGTGGAATCTCAGTGGAAACACAAACCTAGAGTCGCAAATACCATGTATGAACATGAGGCGGGAGTGTAGTGCAATTCAATACACAAACAAGATGGAGCCCACGAACCCGAATGCAAACACATACGTCAATCCACTGTGTATAGAAAGAGACACAGCCGGTTAGAGTCTCTTTTTCACGCTCCGGCACGCTGTTGGACATCATGCACTGGGGACTCCACCACCAAGGCAGCATGTGCTGGGGACTTCACCACCAAGCTCCGTCTTCGTCATGAAGGGTCTTCGTTTTGCATTCAAATCAATCACTGGCGTAAAGGTTCTTGCAGATCCACATCACGAAAGAAACAATGGCATTGTCCCAAAATCAGGAAAATAAGCACTTGAAAATGATAACCGTCCACATAATACAGAGAAATCCACAACTGCGGCGTCTGATCTTCTTGTAAATAGGAGTGCAAGACCGTGCGTTGTTGTGTTTCACCTGCATCAACAAGAAGTATATGAGACACACACAACGGAAGTGAGTAAAACTATCCTATACAGGACACTCTTGTGAGACACTCTTGTGGGACACTCTTGTAGGACACTCTTGTGGGACACTCTTGTACGACACTCTTGTGGGACACTCTTGTAGGAAACTCTTGTGGGATACTCTTGTAGGACACTCTTGTGGGACACTCTTGTAGGACACTCTTGTAGGGCACTCTTGTGGGACACTCTTGTGGGACACTCTTGTAGGAAACTCTTGTAGGAAACTCTTGTGGGACACTGTTGTAGGACACTCTTGTGGGACACTCTTATAGGACACTCTTGTGGGACACTCTTAAGGGACCTACGGGACACTCTTGTGAGACACTCTTGTGGGACACGGTTGCGGGACACTCTTGTGGGACACTCTTGCGGGACACTCTTGTAGGAAACTCTTCTGGGATACTCTTGTGGGACACTCTTGTGGGACACTCTTGTACGACACTCTTGCGTAGGACACTCTTGTGGGACACCCTTGTGGGACACTCTTGTGGGACACTCTTGTAGGACACTCTTGTGGGACACTCTTAAGGGACACTCTTGCGGGACACTCTTAAGGGACACTCTTGTGGGACACTCTTGTAGGAAACTGTTGTAGGACACTCTTGTGGGACACTCTTGCGCGACACACTTGTGAGACACTCTTGTGAGACACTCTTGTGGGGCACTCATACGGGACACTCTTGTGGGACACTCTTGTAGGACGCTCTTGTGGGGCACTCTTGTGGGACACTCTTGCGGGACACTCTTGTAGGAAACTCTTCTGGGATACTCTTGTAGGACACTCTTGTGGGACACTCTTGTACGACACTCTTGTGTAGGACACTCTTGTGGGACACCCTTGTGGGACACTCTTGTGGGACACTCTTGTAGGACACTCTTGTGGGACACTCTTGTAGGACACTCTTGCGGGACACTCTTAAGGGACACTCTTGTGGGACACTCTTGTACGAAACTCTTGTGGGATACTCTTGTAGGACACTCTTGTGGGACACTCTTGTAGGACACTCTTGTGGGACACTCTTGTAGGGCACTCTTCGTACGAGACTTCCTCCAAAAGTCACACGTCAAGTCTCCAAAACGAGCGTTTCGTACGAGACTTCCTCCAAAAGTCACATGTCAAGTCTCCAAAACGAGCGTTTCGTACGAGACTTCCTCCAAAAGTCACGTGTCAAGTCTCCAAAACGAGCATGTCGTACGAGACTTCCTCCAAAAGTCAAGCGGAAACACCCATCGGAGTTCACACATCACGCAGCCCTGCCAAGCAGTTTCGCGAGTCCAGCCCCTCCAAACAACACCCGTTCACACGCCAATCCCACTGTGACAGCGACACTCACCTCTACCACAACTCACAACCTCACAATTCCCTGCGCCTGCCACGAATCTTTCCGCATCCACACGTCTAACGCGCACAAAGTACTGCGCCTGCCACGAAATGTCACCTCCGTCACACCTCGCAACCTCACCATTCCCTGCGCCTGCCACGAGAATCGCACTTCCATGCCTCAAAGCCCACACAAAGTACTGCGCCTGCCACGAAAAGTAGCAATATCATCTCATGTCAGCTTCAACAAAATTTGCACCACACCACACGTTTGGAATGATTTCGACCCGTTCTGAGCACACTCCCATCCACCAAAATCGCCATTTCAGCTGAGACTGGTCACGAAAACAGAGCTTCGATGCCACACCCTGAAACGCAAATCCCAATGGCACGGCCACATCCAACACCCCAAAAACACGACTCTCCAAACGCTAATCCCAATGGAACTGCGTAGCAAACTGAGGATCTCACAAAACGCTGCGCCTGTGCAGCGAAATGCATCACGCTTCTTACGCGACATGTCGTTTTCATGCAAATGACAATGGAATAGCGTCGCAAACTGACACGTCACACATCCATGAAAAGTCACTTGCAAAAGCTTCCCCCAATGGCAGCGCCTTAGCGCTCTACTGGGGACACCTGCGAACGGTTGCGGACGGTTGCGAACGGTTGCGGACGGTTGCGAACATAGAAACAACGGGTCGCGAACAAGGCTCTACCCCCAGACCCCCAGAGTTAAACGAGAACCCTTCGCTACGCATTCGGGAAAAACAGAAAGTTGAAGAATCCCCATGAGGAATCACACCAAGAGCATGAAGGAGGATTGCAAGTGTTACACATTACATGTTATGAGAAATGAGTGAATCCTCAACTGCTCAAACTAAGTGGCAAGCAAACTGAACTCCCTCAGGCAGTACAAAATGTCTATATGTCAAATGCGTCAGGCAGTACATCAGGTCCTCAAAACAATAGAAACGTACGGTTGAGGTCACTTCAGCTCCCCAAAACACCTAAACGGACTGAACCACGTTTTTTGCGAACCTATGCGAACATCTGGATTTTGCTCGAGGTTGAACTAAGCAAAACGGGAAGGGAACAAGTTCTCCGCAGTGCAGTGTTGCATTTTTATCTGTGCTGCCAAGAACTGAGTGAATGAATAGGGGCAGAAACACGCAACAACCAAATGTTCATGGTGTGTCCATTTGGATCGTTCAGCATGTCTGTCCTTTATTTACATTAGTTAACCAATTTAGATCAATTCAGTCAGGACCACTGTTTCACGGTTTCAGGGCAAGACCCTGAATTTCGTGCAGCATCTTCGCAGCGCTCTGTGAGATCAGCATGTGATGCATAAAAACAATTCAAGGCTCTTGTCTTTTCATTCGGGACCTCTGGTTACCTGAATGCTTGAGTAATGTAGCCACAAATTCAATGTGTGCTAGGAAAACCGAAGAGTTCTGCAAGTGTAGTTGTATGTCTGAGATGCCCAAGGGATCAACCAAGTTCGACAGAGTCTCGAACATGACATTTCCAGGAATCTGGTCATCAGGCCAGCTGAAATTGATCCAGGCTTCAACAGGTTGCAGCCAGTGGGTCAAAACCACCCTACAAACCATGGAAGGCTGACATCCCTTAAATAGAGGAATCAGTTCGTTTTCGATGGTCCATCTGGGTCAATATTTCTTCAACTCAGGAATGGTTTGTCTTCGGAAAGACTCCCTGGGACTGAACGAAATGCTCCACAAGACGACCCCCGTTTCAATCAACCCAGCCACCCCGTCTTGGGTAGGGCAATGATGCCAGTCCCAGTCTTTGGGTGCAAAATCCCGGGACGAGACCCACATGGAACCTGTCTTGGACCAGACCTGGAAGACTCTTCTCCTCTACCAGCCGGGCGTGGTTTTCAGGGTCCATGATGTTCCAACATGTTCCATGCGTTCTTTTTTTTTCCAGGGTGTAATATGACGTTGATAAAAGTCTTGGGAAGAGACTCTGGTGTAGCTTAGACCCGTTTCCCAACAGGTTCATGCTTCCATCCGGACAGGAGTCGTTCGATGCGGACAGGACGAAACACACGCCGAAGGGTTCCATGGGGTTTTGAGAAGCTACAAACGGAGACACACACACACACATAACACATAACGCACACACACACACACACTATAGTCACGATTTGTAGACATGGAAGTTGCTAGCCATCCACACTTCCAAGCCCTCAGCTTATATTCAAGACAGGTCTTCGGGATGCTTCCACACGAGGATGTCCCCCTATTGGAATGGGTTGAGAAAGTGGGTCACTATCATAATGGTCACCAGTATGCTGTGTCTGCTGCATTCAGCCAAGCAGGTCCTTCGAAAACACATTAATTGGATTGCTTTGACAGCATGAAAGCACTATTGCTTATTTCGTTAGTAACATGTGACCCTCGTCCAAGCTGATGGTGTGATTATACATATTAAAACACAGTGCCAAAATTCCTACCTCTTCCCTGCTTAGTGGCTTGCCTGACAATTTGATGCCTTCTATTGTTGTCCTAATTATAAGAGTTGTATCGGAAAACTGATTTGATGATTTGGCACTAGGAAGGCGAAACAGGAACACCCCACTCATGAAATGATTTGAAGAGCTGCCCGCGTTTGATACCATCCCGTGGCGCGAACACCACAAGTAGCAATGAACCAGTTATCTTGCAGCAGGCTGCGAAGAACTGAATGGAAAGGAGCAGCAAGGGTTCCTTTCAGCCGCAGTCTGGCAAAAGTTTAGGTATGATCAAACAGGAGAACTCTGTCGCCACCTTTTGGGTTACCCCGAGAGCTCCATTCCTGTCTCCATAGACAGGAGATTTGAAGCTCTTTTGAAGTGATCTCACCTTGCCCCACAACCATTGAATACGAAGGAATACGATCTGTAAATTTCCCTACATTGGGCACAGAGAATGCAAAAGAGCTTCAGGCCCACACCCTAAATGGATCCTGATCCACAAAAACGGCTCGTGTTCTCGAGCTGTGATTTCTGGCTTTTGGAGCTGTGTGAATCCCACCCCCTTTACCTTGCATCAGGCTCACCCGCTGGTGGGAGTTGAAAAATTCGCCCTGCTGCCGCCGCCTCCGTCTGCCGCCGTGCTGCTTTTGGACTTGCTTCGGGCTCTGCCGCCTTAGGACAAACAGGGGCAATACGATACGAGGTCAGCGAAACAAAGCAGGACTCCACATGGCGTTGGGGAGACATCCAGGGTGGCAAGTGGGAATAGTACTACTGTAACTATCCAGTATTTGAACCTAGGTCAAGCACCCACCAGGCGCATACCCTGGCTCTTAGATTTGTTTAAGGAGGTGGTGGTGTTAACATCCTTGGGTGCCTACGTAGAAACCTACGGTTTGCCTACGTTTCCAGAGTCAGAAGCCTGCAGCAAACATGACTTATTCGATTCTAAAACGTCTATGTAAAACCTACGAACGTGACGTGTTAGAGAAGTACTGCTCAATTTTGCCTACGGTCCCATGCAGTCCTTGCAAGTCTCCCCATGTCTTCGACATTAGGAGTACGTCTCAGCACAGCAGGTTTCAAGAGATACTTGAGAGTAATATAGGCAAGCGGACATGGAGAACCTACGGTGGCTGTAAGGAGAACCTACGGTGAGCCTACGGAAAATGCCCCTTTGGGATAAAAAGAACATTTCCTTTGGAATACGAGGATGGGGTGTTTCCATCTCAGAGGCCTTTTCGCACAAAGACAGATCGCTCATGGACAAAACACTAACAAGTTGAGAGACAAAAAACAACATCCATTCAAAGTGAATCAGCAACACAAGCTGGGTGAATTCAAGGCATGCTATTCGAATTAATGGATGTATGGTCGCCTACGGCAAACGTCTACGACAAACATTGCACAACCAAATGTCTACGACCGCCTACGTCCCAAGCAGGCTGGATGATTCGAAGACGCTCACTAACGGAAAAAAAACAACACTGAGAGACTATATTCCTATATTATATATATTATATATAACACACTATTAATTACTACTCTCACCACAAATCAACCAGCAGCAAGTGCAGCAAGGACAGATTCAGGTGCCCATGCAGCCGAAAGAACAGGGGACAACTCACGATACATGGTGCAAAACAATGTTTGAAGTAGCATTTACATCAATTGCACCTGGAAATTGGCTTTCTGAATCTTTCTGATATCTTTTGTCTGTTGAGGCAAACCACAGCATCCAAAAACAACTGTAACTGGCAAACTGCTGTGCTTCAAGCAAACAAGTACAAGTAGTTCATGACTGCAAAAACATCTACCTTGGTGCAAAGTCTTACCTTCTACGTTGTATGGGTCAAAGATGCAACATCTTCCCCCTGCGCTGGAGCTTCAACACATTTGAACACCCTCACACGCCTTCAATATCCCCGACGTGAACAACACCTGCCACCCTTTCTACCCTCCAACTTACCTTTGAGATAGACCAATCACACGCCCTACCCCTGTTATCCCTGCTTCTAAATCAGGATGCTAGAGGAACCATAACCGGCAAAAGCATGTGTAGCAAAAAGCGGTTCTGGCTGTGCAAAGTCTTCAGCAGAAGTGAGTGTCTTGAAAGTCAAACTTGATTTCCTTACAATGATGGCCACTCCGGAGTGCATGGAGTTGCCAGCCCATGCAAAGTGAACGCGCTGGTAAGAATACATGAAGTGGGCCACAGCGCCACAGCATCCTCATGAGAAGTGGTTTCGTCCAGCCACAAAACCTCCAATTCATTAGCTTTGGAATCCGATGCATGAACTTTGAAATACACATGCTTGACACCGCTATACCCCCCCCGCTCATCCCGCTGCGCTCACCGCGGTTCCGGTGGCCAGTGATGTGGGAGTACTCAGTTCCCCCGTCTCCCCGCCCCGGGGCCCCGAAAACCTCGAAACTCCGTGATGGCCTATGACGGTCTGCCAAAAACGAATCACTTGCTGGACTAGTCCGGCTCGAATTCCGGCAGTGAAATGCCAATGTTCAAGTTTCATATTGCCACTGGCGCGGATTATGGGTGTCCAGTGTCAGTCTGGGCAAGTCCCCGAGCCATCAAATGCCGTCAAGGTGTCAAATCCGTGCACCCGAATACACAACGAAGTCTTCACTAAGCTCTGAAAATCTTCAAGCTCGTCAAGGTCCCATGGTCTAGTCTCACAAGAGCAGAAGTGGGATGGCTAGGGAGTCTGACCGAAAAACAACTGTAATTGAGAACCACGGGGTCGGACCGAACTCCTTGCCGTTTTCTCTTGTCACAAAGTACGTGATGCGTACTGTGATACGATGTGATACGTATAAAGACCCGGACATTGAAACCCTGTACTTGTCACATCCAATACCACCAATCCCGCAACACGCCCTGGTCTCTCGGATTTCTGCCATGTTACTCTTCGACCGGCGGCTCTTGGACCGGCGAGCCGGCGATGGCCCTGGGCGAGCGTGCATAGAGGATCCAAAAAGGAGTGGAACGCCCGCGTCGGTCAGATCTGACACCTCGGATTCAATCATGAGTTTCTTTTGGAGAAAATGGTCCCAGTGGAGTCCGTTCAAACAAGAGTTTTGGATATGAACTCTCAAACAAGGGGCTGGGGAAGAAATGTTGGTTTTCAAAAGAAGGCCCCAATTTGATTCAACGATTCCAGTGTGTACAGGTGGATTCATCCTGGAAATGGCAATGATCTACATTAACAAAACAGATTCACCCATCTCTTGAGGGATATCGAGAGGGTTTGTAAAAACAAATTCTTGCCTCTGGTTTCTTCGGTGATAGTTGACAACGGACAACTCTTCCATCAGGGGAGGACAAGCAATTTGAATAGTAGGGTCAGATTGTCCTGAATGGCACACCCAAATCGCCCGGACAGCCGATCTCAACAGCTCGCCATTCCCTGAAAAAATCGATCCCCAGAATGGGTAGAACTTGTGCGGGTGGGATTAGGTAGATGAAACATGTTTCGCTTTGTGATCACAGATGCCCAAAGTAATTGTCCGCAGGCTTTAGGCCTGACGCAGGAGGCAGTCACTGCAACAGAAGAAACCCAGTCCATACCACATGTTCTTCCCAGGAATCAAATTTTGTGAAACTGCGCTATACACTGCCTGGTGGTGTTGGCAAGCGAGCGGCGCTGTTCCAACCCTGTTTTAAACTGTAACTGACGGTCACGGCCAACATGTCCATTCCAATTGCCTTCCCGGAGTCGGAATACACTGAACATGCAGCAAGGCGGTTTCATATACGGGCGCTGTGTCCAAAAGGGACGTAGATTGTGGAAAGAGCATAGGGTTGTTTTTTCTATTTGCAGACGTTGAAAGCGTAGCTTTTGACACGCCACATGCATTAATTACGAATTGAAAAGCGAGGGGAAATTCCAGGTCTTATCCAAACGTCAAAACAGCAGTCAGGTCCCATAGGAACATCCTCAGCAAACTTCGCCACTAAATCGCGAAAAGCATCAAAAAATTCAGATGGAACTTCCGCCACGCAGTCAGAGTCAACCTGGCTATTTGTAAAGATATTGGCAATTGCTCTGCAAAATGCCGGTGGATATTGTTTAAGGGCAGCTGTCTTCCAGCCACCAGTGTTGTCCTTACCTATTCTTCCTCCTGTAGGAAGCGGAGTAGCACGGTGTCGCAGTAAATGCTCAGTTAGATTTTCACCTCCGTGGGCAATCAGGAGATCTGTCGGCTTAGCTGACAATGCTCCATAAAAGCCCTGTAGAACTCGAATCTTACAGCAGCACGTAAAGCGTAGCAAGAATCGGATCACTGAGAGACGCCATATGGTCGGGAAATCCTGCTCTTTGGGCTCCGCGGGATGTTCAACGACGGCTGTACAACCAGCCATCATCGCAGTCCAAAAGAGTATCAAAGTTGCACTAAGGAGCTGATTTCCCAAGAAGACTTGATCAGCCTCCTTGCGCGTGAGGTGGTCGAGTCCCCATGGCTGTGTAGCACTTCTCACTGGCCGCGGACCGGACGTAGCAGAATGGTATCTAGCTCGTGGCCACGTCTCACATGGTGGGCCAGCTATGAAGCCGATCAGGATCTTCTGGTTTATCGCATTGCAAAACAAGTTGAAAGTAGCGGGGTTAAGAAGATTTCCCCAAGTAGTGCTGAAAATGACATCAACACTGATGGCCTGAAAGCCAGCCTCCTCAAGGAAACTCTGTAGATCGCCCCGCCGTTTTTCACCTGAGAATAAGTGTGCGACAATCTTGGGGAAGTATCTGATTTGCCTTGGTGGGTTCCAATGGATATCAGTCAATGACCATACCATGCCTCTTTTTCAAAGAAGGCACAAGCATGTTCTCTAGTTCACCATTGAGGAACCAACCACCCGTAACTAGAAAGTTGTATTGGCGCAAGGCCCCCAAAACATCAAGCGTGACTTCATTAAATGCTTGCTTGATCTCATTTGGGTAAAGCGCCGTCGTCAAGGTCGCTTTTCGTAGTGCTTCAACTAGATCACCAGGCCGTTGGCACCCTTCTTGAGCAGCATCCGTCCAGTTTTGCTTGCGTAATCGTATTTCTGCTACTTCTTCAAAGAGAACAACATCAGGCAAAGGATACATCGGTCCTCCGCCTGAAGCACAGGATCACAAAGGTCTTTCCTGTCTATCAACACGAATGCCACGTTCACGATAAAACTGAAAGCAGTCAAGCCATGTCAAGCCCACGTTTGATGTGGTTGATCAAATTAGATTGAAGATCGTATTGCTTTAAGCAGCACTCACACTGACTTCCAGTGACATAATCGCGGGCTCGATTAGCTCTTCCATGTTTTTTGAAGGAATGTACAGCCATAGCAGCTTTTGTCGAAAATGTCTTCGAACAGGCTAAGCAAACATATTCATTATCGTTCAAATTGAATGAATGTGTATCATGAAGGTTGCTCGCCAAGACATCACACAAAAGATCAGCATGCCAGGTCTGCCATTGACTATAAAGCCTGTGGTTCGAAATATCCCTGAACACCGCTTTGCGGAGCAGGTTTTTCCAACGCTTGGGTTGTTCCCCAATGAAGCTAGCCAATGTGACCCATTTTTGATTGGGTGGGAAAGGAACCTCAGCTTCCGGCTTCCGGACACAATCTTCGGAGCCATTCAAGGTCAGCAGTCAGGATAACAAGCCACTGCGGCGCAGCCTGGATCAGACGCCGCAGATGAGGCTGTCCCATCTTTATAATCTGACTGAGATATCGCAGCCTGGCATTACGAAGGATTGCTTGATCTGTCGGAAGTCCTAGCTCATACAAGGCTCGGGAGAGGGACCAAGTAATGGCCACAGGTCCTCGATGCATTGTAGCGAGCCTCTTGAAGAGGCGTGCGAACGCAGTATGAATCTGTCGTTCTTGTCGTTTATTACGAGGGACCCACACAGCCGCGTTGAATGTGATTGTGCTGAGCACAAGAGATCCAAATAGTTGCATTTTCTTTTTAACATCCTTCTGCCGATTTGCAAAGATTTGACCTTGTACTGAGTGAGGATGTCATGAGCGATGGCAAACTTGGTTTGGAGGTCACGTGCTATCCCGCCTCCTGTCTGGGCGTCCCGGTGCGTATTCAGATGGAATCATCAACGTAGAGTCATCTCGACTGATCTGAGCTCGCACCTTTCGGACTCGTTTGCCTCTTAGATCTGCCAAAAGCTCTGATTTACCAGGTTTCAGATTTGGGATTAGGGCTGCTGCTGTAAGTCGATCAAAGATGCGTGCTGTGATGTCTTGAGCTCGTTGGATCACCTCTTCCGCATTATTGGCTGTAATTCCAATAGCCAGGTCATCAGCCCAAATGGGCACCAGTGGAGAGAGTGGTGTTTTGCATGGGCGAGGGGCAGGGTCCCTTACTTCCATTCCATGCAACACACAAGTCCGGATACAGACATGCCACATCCTGCAGAACCGGTCCCAGAACTTTGGTGAGGGCAAAGGAGAAACATAGGTCAGCAAAAAAGTATTGAGGACGAACCATGTGAGCTCCTAGAATTGACGAAAGAGGCTTTTAAGGAAGGGTGATGCATCAGCTGAATCAATGGCCGGTTCGATTTGCAAAGCTCAAGAAATTCATCAACCGATCCTGCTGGTAAACGCAACTCATTGAAAAGATCTAAAAGCGCTCTCTGATCCCCCTGCGAGCTGACTATGTGTTGGCGGACTAGCTTGTAGAAGGCATTTTGTACATCAACGAAAAGAATGCAAACACTGTGACCATGACTACAATTGCTAGTTTGGAACAGGCGCAGCGTGTGTACAGCCTGTGTAATGCTGAAACCCGGCAGTCTCCTATCTGCATCGTTGGAAGGACTCCGCCAACTGGCTGCGATATATCGCATGCATTGCTTTTCCAAGAACACTGCTCACAAAAAGGGATCGGTAGTTGGTAACTTCGGCTGGGTCTCCTTCCTTATAGGCTTTGTGTATATGGGGCTCCCTCTGAAAAGGGCCTCTTTGAGGAAAGCTTCATAGAAAAGGCGTGCCATCTGTCGAGGGGCACATGCTAAGAGATCCCCTTGGATCCCGTCAACAAAAAACGCTTTCCCCTTCTTAGTGCGTCTGAACTGCCTTTCTAGTTGAAAGAGGGTTGGGACCTCACTCCACGAGGGCAGGACTTTGGGCAGGGCCTGTAGACGATCCGAGGTCGAGGTTGAGGTCGAGGTCTGCGGTGGCGCTCTGTATACAGCCCGCAAGTCTCCTATAAAGTGTCGGCAGGTGAAAGAAAACCATCCATCGCTGCCAGCGGTGGCCCGAAAGCAAACACGCACATAACTGGGGGGGAGGCGGGAGCCAGAAGCCGGGGGGGAGGGGCAGGGAAAAGAAGAGCGACGAAGGGGGAGGGGGGTGGGCGACGGCATACTCCGCGGACGTAGAGCCACGACCCGAGGGACGCAGGCCGGGTAACACGAAGCCATAAACAGCAACAGGAGACTACGGCGAGCGCTCGCGCTTTTTTGAAAAGCTGACAGTGTCAGAGTGTCTGGAAAAAGGGAGGCCGCAAGACACCGTTAAGCGTTCAGCGGCGGCGAGCACGCCGGGGCGGTCCGCGTGCGTGCTCACCACAACCATCTCTTGGGCTAGCCTTACGCTTCCGGCGCCTTGACATTTCTCCAGCACGCAAGGCGACCCAGACTTTGGGTTCGGAGGAGGCTTCGCGAAGCTTGGGTCCAATCAACATGTTGACTAAGTCAGTAGCCCTGAGACCAATCAAGCCAGGTTTCCACTTGATATCCAGGGCTACATGCTCTCCCCACTTGCCCCCTACTGGAAAGACACCCTGTAGCGCTGGCGGTGTGCCGAGGACGTCTTTGAGCTCTCCCAGGACGCTCTTTGAGCTGTCTGTAAACCGTCAAAGTCAGGATTAACGGCCACCTTCTTAAATTGTTCGGAACGCCAGCGCTCTCTAACTTTGTGCATCCATTGGCTGGGATGCTCGAA